CAAACCGCTATGAATAAGGACAGAAAAGAGACCCTGGATAATGGAGCCAGGAGACATCAGAGGACAATGCAGACGGAATGAGAACGGGGAACACAGCAGATTGTAATGACAGAGCAAACATTGTCACGTAACGACAGAAGATACTGTAACAGGTTGCACAGCGTGATCAAACAATGAGGACAAAGTGAAAGACTAGCTATCTGCACATATTTCACATAGAAACAATGCATAAGCAAACAAAACATAAACATTTGACAGATAAAGTCACGACATGTACAGCTACCATTACAAAATAATGTCAGACACACACCTTACATGGACACAAACACCTTTTTGGCACAAAAGGGACCTCATACGGTTTCCTAACACTCTGCAGCCCCAATAAATTCGCCCTCTGCTCCCCTCAAGACATCTATGAAGCTGCCTTGTTGGTCGGATGATGAACTGTTACATATATCAAGGTCATTCACCCCAGGCTTCATGGACATACTTTGCCCACATTGCTCAGATATGATACGCACCTCTCATCCTCCTCGATGTTCCTGCAAGATGTCACATTATCTGTGTTGGCTTTTGCTATGTGATGAGTTTTTTTTTTTTTTTTTCCAATCTCAAACTGTATCCTGCTAAGGATAAAGTATGAAATATGTTTTTTTTCCTCCCCTCAGCAGTTGCAATTCCTTTCTGTGTGTCTTACTATAAGGGCAGCGCCTTTCTACAGCAGCAGGGCCTCGGACACTCCGTCCCCATGTCTGTGTGTGTTGTCTTTTCTTCGATGGGCTGTACCGAAACTAATAAAAAAATCTTCAATGTAATATAAATATCAAATCAAATTTGTGCAACACCAAGTTTCCTCTAATTCTGCTCCGTATTATTTCACAGCTGCTGGACTGTATTAGGAGCACTACTCTGAAATCCCAATTCTCTAAGAAAAAAAAAGTGTTTTTAAGCCTTTATCATTGTGTTGATGAGCAACAATAAGCAGCATTAGACTGAGTGAGGACGCACACTGCAGGTTTCCAAACAGGAAGTTCATTTTTCTAACCTCAGATAAAAGTTTTCCAAGGATGTAGAGGGATTGTCCCCATTTCAGGGGACATTTCCCCATCGGGATCCTTTCTACGGAGTGAGGGTTCATGTACTCTTCCTCCACCTGTTTGAACATCATAAAGGAGCACGTTTACAATCACATTAAGAGCAGCTTTGAGCTAAAGGTGGATTTGTAACTTCTTAAAGATGGAAATTCTTCACCTTTTCTGGAGGGACGCTGTAGAGCTCTGGCAGCAGCCTGATCCCATCCTTCTGTTTGATCAGGATCCCCTCCAGCGCCTCCTGGTACTCCTGCACCTATTATAACAATAACACAGGTCTCGCCGTATTAAAGTTTGCAGGTGTTTTCTTTATGAATAGCTTTCAGTCACACCACAGGACTCTGATTAGCTCTATTGCCGAGCTACTGTAAATCTGCAGCTGAATTTAGGATGAATCTCCAACCACAGGATTAAATTTAAGCTGATCATCTCACATCCAAGTCTAAAGTATTTGCCAAATATTGAGAGTTTCACTTAACCTTAAAGCTACCCCCAATCTTTATACCTTCACCACCATGCTTTACACCTAACATTAGACTACACATGCAGTGGGGCTGCAGCTACTGATCTGTTTAGTAGTCGATTAACCAATTGATTTATCTAAAAGGAATACTTTAAATAAATTAATATTTCTAAATAAATAAACATTTGGAATTTAGAAAAAAAAGAAGCTTTTATGACGTATTTCATGCAAATTGTAAATGGCAAAAATGATATAAAATACACAATATATGTATATGTATGTAATGATATATATTTAATATAAAGAATTGTAACTTTATATGGAAAGCGGCAGTATTTTTTGTAGAATTCTGTCTTAATTGTTGCTGCAGGTAGGTTATCCTTTCAGCAAATTGCCAGTTTTAGACTGTGTATCATATTTGACCATTTATTTTAACAATTGTTTCAGCACTAATGTGCAGTTTTCTGTTCGTCCACTGAAAACAATAAAACCTTAGCATTAATCCCTTGTTCCAAAATAGGCTGGGCTTTTCCCTCGCACCTTTATGACAGTCCTGCCATGATCTTTGACATGCCAACTGAAGTCTGCAGAACTGGAGACGAAGAGTTGGGAGGGTTTTTTGTTTTCGTTTCTGATAGATGTACAGCCTGAACTCCCCCATGAACATCCAGGGGCAGGACATAGAAACGGTGCAGAGTTTCAAATACCTAGGTGTTCATGTCAACAACAAACCGGACTGGACTCATAACACCGACGCCCTGTATAAGAAGGGCCAGAGCCGCCTCCACCTCCTCAGGAGGCTGAGGGCCTTTGAGTTGAGCAGGCCGAACAACTAGTAAGAAAGGCCGCTTCTATGCTAGGCTGCACTCTGGACACCCAGTGCAATAGCTACATATAAAAATATCTATCTATATAAATATCAATGTAAACACCCTGTGCAATAACTATTAAGAAAAGAGGAAAAAAATCTTCATATGTAGATGCACTGTATATGTATATATCCCCCGCACATTTTTTTCTTTGGCACATTCTTCTTCGACTATTTGAGCCGATGTAACGAGTACATTTCTCCACTGTGAGATCAATAAAGTCAATCAATCAGTCGAGAAGATGGCCAACTGTCTCAGATGTTCCTGAGCCGAGTGTTTTTACAGACTGTTTAGAAAATTTATAAATAATTATTACCAATATATTATAATAATTATTAAAATCATCCATTATTGTAATGTTATTTTCCACATGTAAGACCTTGTTTTCGTTGAAACAAAAGTGAAAAATGTTTCATATTATTTGAATTTCTTGCGGTTTATCCAGAGATGGAGAATGTTTGACATGTCTTTATTTCCTACAGCAGATTTAAACACAGAGATAAATTACCTGCTCATGGCTGTTGCTAAAAATGCCGTCCAGTATGAGATAAGTCCAAAACAGAGGCCACTCGCACTCTATGTTCTCAAACAGCTTTAGCTCAGCCGACTCGTAATACAGCCTGTTTGGGTCCTTTATGGGGAGAAGGAGAAACAAAGACCAGGTGAGAAGATTTAAGTTCCTCCACAACGTCCTTCTTCTCATCATTTAGCTGTAAAAATATCAATCTGTAATCCAGAGCAGCGCTGTGACCCTGTGACCCAAGATATTACAACAGAATGGCATCCCCCTAAAAAAAACTATTATTCATAAATATAAACTATATTTTTAAATTAAATTATCTTCTAAATGATCATTCATTCTTTAAAACATCATTTAAAATGTATTTTTCTATTGTTAAATGGGAAATTTAATTATTTAATCAATTTAAATTTATTTATTTACTTAATTTTATATTTGATGATTAAATTATCTATTAGATACATAAATAAATGTTAAATATATTTTATTTTATGGAAGATTCACTTTAATGTATTGCATGATATATTTTGGCCCTTCAATTACTTTAGGAATTTTATCATGACGATTGTGAACACCATCCATCTTGAACCACCGGGGGGCGCCATATTTAGAATAGAATTAAATAGAATAGAGTTGGAAGCCCTAATCAGAAAAGTGAGACATTTAGAAAAAGTTTTTCCATTTAGTTTCTCAGATTCCTCCAGGAATATTTATTTTACATCTCTGCCTGCGACTATCTAGATGAGAAGTTTCCAAACTGTTCCAACTATTGGTAGAACAAACAAACACTTCTACAAATTCAACCATTAGTGTAATGATAATACAAACAACATTAATTAAAGTTGTTGCTTTCATCAAATTTTAAGTGATGCTTTCATATCTTTAAGCGCTTTACATAAATGTTTAAAGTAACTTTTATTATAGTAGCATCTGGTACATTGACATAAATTAATTTTTGTTGTAGAAGGAAATGCATTTATGATTTTTTTTTTGTTTAATAAATTAGATTACACTTTCTGAGAAGTCCCTACATAAAATCATACCTACATAAAAAAGCAGCCGGCATCATTCAAAGTTGATAAGATAAAATCACAGAGCTTTGTTCAGTTCATCATCATCGTCTGACACTGGAGAGTAACGTAATATAGTGGCAGAACATTTTAGGGATTTTCTTTGGATGGATGGAGCTAAACAGAGAATAATTCTGGAAGTAAAAGCAACCAGACGCCAGAAAAGAGCTCAAACTACAATAAATATTCATCTGCAGGACTTTAACATATTTAGAGTTTTAAATATCTCTAATATTTTCATTCTGAGTCAACAGACTGGTTTAAATTCCATTGTATGCGTTTGAGGGGCCTAGTCAAAGTATGGTATAACTAACAGATCATTTCTGGTAATATTTACACCAAGTGAATAATCCCCATTTATTCATAAAAAAAAAAAAAACAGATTCAAATGGGGTGAAATAAGAAGCACACCACACTTTTCAGATTTTAATAATGAATAACTATAGTTACTCATTATTTTCTCATTACTTTGCAGTTAGGTTCAAAAAACCCTTCTGTTCATATAAAATAAATCCAGTAAAATGTATTGAAGTTTCTGGGTTTAACCTGACAAATAATATGCTATGCAAGCATCTTTGCTAGGTGCTTTATGGTGATATTTTCAATTTTCTTTACAAATAATTTCCCCGACATTCCATAGCTTTGAAATGTTTAATTTTAAGGAGCTTTTATACATTTGTTAAGGATCTGTGAAGCTTTATCACAGATAAAAGACGACATTTTATCTGGTTTACAATTCTGTCAAAGCAGAAACACGAGGTAAAAACCTTCCCATCTAAAAATACCAACCTATACAAGCTCCCTTTAAACGAAATAAACTGTTTCAGACTTCCTGTTTTCTTCCAACACACTTACTGGCCTGTGAGCCTGAACCTGTTTGGTATTCATGCAGCCAATTGCTGCTGGCAACTCCTCCCAAAATACTGACCAAAAAGAGAGGCTCAAACTGGACATCGTCCCACAAACCTGACCACTAAAGCACCCGTCTCTGCAGATAATGAAAACCTCCCCAGCTTACAGTGATTTGATAATACGGTTTAAAAACATAATAAACAGTCACAAGGAGATTAAAAGAAAAAAAACAACAGTTCAGTTGGTTTCTTATCTGATGTAGCTGGATTATTTCCCAAGGACAAAATGACAGAATGTGTTTTCTTTTTTTTTTTTTTACCTCTCGGGGAGTTTTGTGGCCGTCTCTTAGAAACCTGCAGCAGCCGTATCGACCCTGAAAACAAAAACAAAGAGCTAAAAAACACCTAAACAAGAAGGGGAAAAAACAATCTAGTGAATATAGCCAATTTTCACTAATGAAAAAAAGGCTACATTTGATTTCTGGAACATTTTAAGGGGATGGTACCTGAAGTTTGGAGATGATCTCCTCCTTGGTCATGTTGACTATGCTCATGTCCTCCACGGCGAAGGCGGGGTAGGTGAGGATGGCCAGGACTCCGGCGTCCACCTCCTTAGAGATGGATGCTCTGGGTAACATCGACGTCAGGATGGACTGACGGTGGGAAAAGCGAGACACAAAGAGGGGAACATTAGGTTCAAGGATCACATCGGTGGGATTGAACGTGCTGTAGGTGTGGGTTTACTTGGCAGTGCTGTATGTCATCAGCCAGAGCATGGACCACAGATCCAGGACCTCCTTTTGCTCCAAAAAGGTTAAGTTCATCCAGAGCCTCCAAAGCTGCCTGTTTAACAAACCAGTTATCAGTGCCTTGAGATCAGGTAAAACACACGTGTTTCCACTTCCTCCAACTGCTATCCACTCCCAATGTCTTTGATTTTACTCAATAAATGTTTCCTTTATTTTGTTAATTTAAACTTGTGCAACATTTGTTATCATTGTGTCAGTCTCATCGTGTTAATAGAGGAAGAAAAAAATCAATGTGCTTCAAAAATCAACCCCCTCCGCCAAAAAAACTAAACCAGCAGCACAGAACTACAGAGAATCAGAATCAGACATACTTTAATAATCCCAGAGGGAAATTACTTAAGGATGATGTGGATGAGTGGGGGGTTTCTATGGGAGCAGCCCTAGTCCCAACTCCTTGAGTTTAACGGATTTGTGACACTTTAAATGAACTCATGGTTTATTAAATAATGGAATATTTATATTAACTTCATAAAATATAGCAGTATATTTAACTGAGGCCCATATAATTATACATTTATATAAATAAATTTTGTATTTACTTCCATTTTTAGTAAATTCTTAAGATATTTCTCTAATTTCATAAGATATTAATTTATTGAATTGTGGCACTCTTCACTCTCCATACTTAAGAGGATTAGTTAGACTGATGTCAAATTAAAGTTATTGGTCCAATTGTAGTTAAAGTAGCGTAAAATAGTGAAAGGTTATAACTTTTAAAGGGTAACTAAAAAACTTCAACATAAACATGCCAGGCTGACATATAAGCATGGTGGTGGAAGGGTGGTGATGTGGGCTTTTTTTTTTTTTGGCTCCGCTATAAACCCAAGCATCCCTTTTTGTCAATAAGTTGGCAAATAAATCCATTTTAATACAAAGGGATCTATGTGAAAGTGAACCTTAAAACAACTGGCATCAGGAAAAGATTTTTTTTTTTTAAGTTAACCCGCAGCAGTGCTGTCGGGTTTATTCTCCTTATGTGTCTTATTTAAACCTGTGCCCCAAACAGGTGTCAACACTGCTAATTAAAATCTGACTCAGGACAAGATTTGACTTTTTTTTCTACAGATTTATGCTCCTATTAATAGAAAAATAAAATTGCAGGAGTAACACTGAAGAAGAAACAAATATAACTTTTTAATCACATTCCTCTATCATTTTTTATTGGGTCAAAGATGAAAAACGAATCACTACTTTTCATTATAAGAACAGGGAACCGACCTCTATGAACATCTTCCTCCAATTAACTTATTAGTGTCCTCAGCAGTGTCACGTTTCAATATTCCTACTTTAAGAAACTATTTTTAGAAGAGGGGTTCCCTAAGTGGGGGTAGGGTTCTCCCAGGGGTCACGAGACACCAAGATGGAGGGAGTGAGATGGTTTTCACAATAATTGTGCTGTGATCCTTGAGGCATATGGAGGGCAAAATCATATACTTAAATACATAAGATAATAAAAGTACAGGGTTCCTACAGATCCTTGCAAAAGGTTTCTGAATTTGAAAAATAAATGTAAGACGAAGGCCCTGAAAAACACATCCTTGATAAGCAGCTACAGAGGTTAGCAGTGGGGTAAATACTGCCACACATGGTCCTTGGATTTCAAAAAATGGGTCCTGGAAAGTTCTGGAATTTGATGTTATCCCTACTGTGGGAACCTTGTAAATGTCATTCCAGTACTTAATATATAGTATTAAATCCTAACATAATCAACTATATCCAATTAAGTAAATAACAAATTAACATGATGAATTTAACGATAAAAATTTGTTTAGGAATATCTTTCAAAAAAATACTTCCCTTTATATGAATAAAAGTGAAGTAATACATTGAATATGTATTTTTTTTATTAAAAGAGTTCAGAAAATCTGCTGTAGAATATGTATATTTTTTTAATATTACCACAAAAGAAGTAATATTTTGTGAATCAGTTTAACCTTTATCCATGAGTCAATTCTGTCCGATTGCACAAACACTTTTTTAACAATTATTTACAACACCAAAAAAAAATGCTCAGGCCTTAGACACTTTCAACATGCCATCTAAGGCTACGTTCACACTGCAGCCTGAAGTGACCAAGATCCGTTTTTTTTTTGGCCCATATGCGACCTGGATCAGATCTTTTCATGGTAGTCTGAATAACTCAGATCCAATTTTTTTTCAATGCGACCCAGGCCGCATGGCTATGTGGTCCTGAATCCGATACGAATCTGATCTTTTCAAATGTGACATGTGTCTGAACAGCCAGGTCGCATTCATCTGACCCGATCGACATTAATAGTCAAAGGTCACTATTCTGCGTCTTGCTACGCACAAGCGGGAAGAGAAACAACAAACATGGTGGACGATAATGCGGAGGTCAGTCTTCTCTTTTTAAACCATCTTGAAAAGATTGAGTTTTAAAGGTTGGCAAAGATCGCCCGACGCACTGCGGCGCCACCATCCATGTTTACTTCCTTAAAGACACAGAGCATGCTTGCTTGTGACATCATTGCGTCCTCTACTGTGCATGCAGGACACTCGCGTTGTATGAATGCAGTTCATGCAGGAGATCACATACAAGTCGCATTTATTTGGAAATACAAAAAAAAATTGGATCTCACAAAAAATCTTTTATTGAGCATTAACACCTACAGTGTGAACATCAGGGGTGAGTATTGGCATGGGAGCTTCGATACGATATGCGTCACGATACAATATTATCATGATATTACAGTATTGCTATATATTGCGATATTTTCCCCAGCTTTTAAAATTGCATGTATAGATAAAAAAGCAAAGGCCATATAGCGCCATCTACCAGTGTGGGGGTGCAGAGGTAGCCAAATTTCTCTCCTTGTTTCAGTTAAAATGTTTTGTTTTTAAATCGGTATTAGGAACTGAAAAAATTGATATATCAGGCAGCCAAAAATCTCGACATATCATGAAATAGATCTTTTTTACTAAGATATAGTTTAAACTTTTGCTTAAAAATTTCATTCAGTTCTCTAATAAATCATCAATATTGTTCTAACAAATTCCTCTCTTTGAATATCTTCATTTATTGATGATTTTACTCCTCTTCAATCGGAGGAATCTTGCTGCATTGCTGGACCACAGCCCAACCGCTGTGGCTCTGACTCGGAGGTGAATGCCTAAATTAAACCGAGTGTGTGTGCAGACTGCAGTCAGAACTTTGCGTCCCGTGATATTTCTGTGTAGGAGAACCTGATACCTCCCTGCTCGGTGTCGGCCAAGGACAGCTTCAGAGTGAGAGGGGCAGAGGGTATGAGGGTGAAGCTAAAACTAAAGCACAATGATCGGCTCTATGAGGACATTTAAGGATTCCTTCATTATAAAAAGGAGAAGCGTAATGAAGCAGAGATCTTCTCAGCTTCTTCTGTTTTTGGTTTGCTTCCACAAACTAAATGCAACCGTCAAAACGAAGCCGTCTCATCTGATCCAGAGTCAGTTTGTAGAGGCTGGGTCACCTAAATGTCAGCGTAAAGGCCGCTGGAGTGACTGAGCAATAACCCACGGAGCCAAACATATTCGCAGGCACACCTGTTCTGCTTTTAGCGTAACTTATGTGACTCTAAGAACTAACCTTAGCTGTGCCTATGGAGCTGGCGTTCAGCTCTGTGATGCCCTGGTTGGTTTTGTCTCCTCTCTCCCACATCCCATAATCCTGCAGGAGACCAGAAAAGAAGGTAGAAACTCAGGATAGACTCAGTAGTTCAACAAGAGGCGAAGCAGCTGGAAGGAAGCGACACTCACAGCCACTTTGTAGGACGCCTCGATGTAGAACATGAGATTCTGAACCACGTCCACTTCGTCTTGAGTGTAGATGATATGAAGGCCTAGAACATCAACATGAAGGGAAATTAAAGCACATTCAGAAGTTGGGTTTAAGTTCAGGGTCTAAATAGGGTGAGGTTCAACGCTGCACCTGAGGCAGTCATCTGAGCCAGGAAGAGCAAGAACAGAGAGGTGGCGTCCACCTGCAGGTGGCCCCACTGGTCGTCCCCGACGACGGTGGCGCAGGTCCTGGTGTTGTACTTGGCGTGGAGCGAGTCCTTGGTGCTCCGGCTGTATTTAAACTTCTCTATCTTGTCCATCTGTAGGAGAAAATAAAGGAACCGTTAAGGTTTCCAGATAATGTCTGACGGTGCATCAGAAATGGTAGAACAATCATTTTCTTTATTACCAAAGTATGGATGATCTTACCTGCCTCATTATACACTGGAGCACACCCCTCATCAGCTTCACCACACTCTATAGAAGCAAAGAGGGTTAAATGTCAAAAGGACTTAATGCACACCTCTTTAAAAACACAGAAGAGAGCCTACATAAATGTCCCTCCACCCACCTGCTCCAGCTCATAGGCCTTGGCCTTGTCCTCATCGCGGTCCGCGTTCTTCCTGTAGGCCAGACTGAGGGCCCAAACGGACACAATGCTGTAGACATTGTCCCTGACCCAGGCGTCAGGATGGTCACTGCTCCCTGGAAGAAGGCCGGTCACTGGATCCTGTGAAACACATTAATCACTCACTACAGTAGAAACAGACAGCTTCTCGTCTAGATCAAATGTTTTATGTTGCATCTAGAGGCAACGGACATATTGAAGCCTAACAATGAAACCTTGCGGCAAAAAAATAAGACAGGAACGTCATGGGAAAAAACAAGTTCCTCTGATTTTTTAAAATTATTATAAACTGAAGGGAGGAAATATTTATTGTTTGACACGTTTAGGAATGAGACAATTTTAAGGTTCTTTTTGGAATGAAAATGTTAGAAGGGTAAAAACAAAGCAAAGTGAAGTGGAAAATTAAGGGNCATATGAATAAAAGAAAGTGAAGTAATACATTGAATAGGTATTTTTTGGGGCACTCTTTGTTTGTTGTGCTGTTATTATTGATATAAAATGGAAAGAGTTGAGAAAATCTGCCGTAGAATATGTATATATTTTTTTATATTACCACAAAAGAAGTAATATTTTGTGAATCAGTTTAACCTTTATCCACGAGTCAATTCTGTCTGATTGCACAAACACACTTTTTTTTTTTAGTTATTTACTACACCAAAAAAAAAAAAGCTCAGGCATTAGACACTTTCAACATGCTGTCTAAGGCTACGTTCACACAGCAGCCTGAAGTGACCCAAATTCGATTTTTTTGTTGCCCATATGCGACCTGGATCTGATCTTTTCATGGCATTCTGAACAACACAGATCTGATTTTTTTCCAATGCGACCCAGGCCACTTGGCTATATGATCGTGAATCCGAAACGAATCGGATCTTTTCAAATGTGACCCGTGTCTGAACGGCCAGGTCGCATTCATCCGACCCGAACGCCATTAATAGTCAAAGGTCACTATTCTGCATCTTGCTACGCACAAGGGGGAGGAGAAACAACAACCATGGTGGACGATAATGCGGAGGTCAGTCTTCTCTTTTTAAACCATCTTGAAAAGGTTGAGTTTTAAAGGTTGGCAAAGATCGCCCGACGCGCTCCGGCGCCACCATCCATGTTTACTTCCTTAAAGACACAGAGCATGCTTGCTTGTGACATCATTGCGTCCTCTACTGTGCATGCAGGACACTCGCGTTGTATGAATGCAGTTCATGCAGGAGATCACATACAAGTCGCATTTATTTGGAAATACAAAAAAAAATTGGATCTCACAAAAAATCTTTTATTGAGCATTAACACCTACAGTGTGAACATCAGGGGTGAGTATTGGCATGGGAGCTTCGATACGATATGCGTCACGATACAATATTATCATGATATTACAGTATTGCTATATATTGCGATATTTTCCCCAGCTTTTAAAATTGCATGTATAGATAAACAAGCAAAGGCCATATAGCGCCATCTACCAGTGTGGGGGTGCAGAGGTAGCCAAATTTCTCTCCTTGTTTCAGTTAAAATGTTTTGTTTTTAAATCGGTATTAGGAACTGAAAAAATTGATATATCAGGCAGCCAAAAATCTCGACATATCATGAAATAGATCTTTTTTACTAAGATATAGTTTAAACTTTTGCTTAAAAATTTCATTCAGTTCTCTAATAAATCATCAATATTGTTCTAACAAATTCCTCTCTTTGAATATCTTCATTTATTGATGATTTTACTCCTCTTCAATCGGAGGAATCTTGCTGCATTGCTGGACCACAGCCCAACCGCTGTGGCTCTGACTCGGAGGTGAATGCCTAAATTAAACCGAGTGTGTGTGCAGACTGCAGTCAGAACTTTGCGTCCCGTGATATTTCTGTGTAGGAGAACCTGATACCTCCCTGCTCGGTGTCGGCCAAGGACAGCTTCAGAGTGAGAGGGGCAGAGGGTATGAGGGTGAAGCTAAAACTAAAGCACAATGATCGGCTCTATGAGGACATTTAAGGATTCCTTCATTATAAAAAGGAGAAGCGTAATGAAGCAGAGATCTTCTCAGCTTCTTCTGTTTTTGGTTTGCTTCCACAAACTAAATGCAACCGTCAAAACGAAGCCGTCTCATCTGATCCAGAGTCAGTTTGTAGAGGCTGGGTCACCTAAATGTCAGCGTAAAGGCCGCTGGAGTGACTGAGCAATAACCCACGGAGCCAAACATATTCGCAGGCACACCTGTTCTGCTTTTAGCGTAACTTATGTGACTATGAACTAACCTTAGCGGTGCCTATGGAGCTGGCGTTCAGCTCTGTGATGCCCTGGTTGGTTTTGTCTCCTCTCTCCCACATCCCATAATCCTGCAGGAGACCAGAAAAGAAGGTAGAAACTCAGGATAGACTCAGTAGTTCAACAAGAGGCGAAGCAGCTGGAAGGAAGCGACACTCACAGCCACTTTGTAGGACGCCTCGATGTAGAACATGAGATTCTGAACCACGTCCACTTCGTCTTGAGTGTAGATGATATGAAGGCCTAGAACATCAACATGAAGGGAAATTAAAGCACATTCAGAAGTTGGGTTTAAGTTCAGGGTCTAAATAGGGTGAGGTTCAACGCTGCACCTGAGGCAGTCATCTGAGCCAGGAAGAGCAAGAACAGAGAGGTGGCGTCCACCTGCAGGTGGCCCCACTGGTCGTCCCCGACGACGGTGGCGCAGGTCCTGGTGTTGTACTTGGCGTGGAGCGAGTCCTTGGTGCTCCGGCTGTATTTAAACTTCTCTATCTTGTCCATCTGTAGGAGAAAATAAAGGAACCGTTAAGGTTTCCAGATAATGTCTGACGGTGCATCAGAAATGGTAGAACAATCATTTTCTTTATTACCAAAGTATGGATGATCTTACCTGCCTCATTATACACTGGAGCACACCCCTCATCAGCTTCACCACACTCTATAGAAGCAAAGAGGGTTAAATGTCAAAAGGACTTTATGCACACCTCTTTAAAAACATAGAAGAGAGCCTACATAAATGTCCCTCCACCCACCTGCTCCAGCTCATAGGCCTTGGCCTTGTCCTCATCGCGGTCCGCGTTCTTCCTGTAGGCCAGACTGAGGGCCCAAACGGACACAATGCTGTAGACATTGTCCCTGACCCAGGCGTCAGGATGGTCACTGCTCCCTGGAAGAAGGCCGGTCACTGGATCCTGTGAAACACATTAATCACTCACTACAGTAGAAACAGACAGCTTCTCGTCTAGATCAAATGTTTTATGTTGCATCTAGAGGCAACGGACATATTGAAGCCTAACAATGAAACCTTGCGGCAAAAAAATAAGACAGGAACGTCATGGGAAAAAACAAGTTCCTCTGATTTTTTAAAATTATTATAAATTGAAGGGAAGAAAAGTTTATTGTTTGACACGTTTAGGAATGAGACAATTTTAAGGTTCTTTTTGGAATGAAAATGTTAGAAGGGTAAAAACAAAGCAAAGTGAAGTGGAAAATTAAGGGAAAGGACTAGACCGAAATTATTACTTTTTCAAAGGGGTCATAGAATGCAAAACAGAGTTAGACCAGGGGTCAACAACCCGCAGCTGCGGGCTCTTTAGCGCCCTCTTGCGGCTCCCTGGAGGTTTTTAAAAAATGTATAAAAATCGATTTTTTTTGTTTGTTTGTTTTAATATAGTGTGCGGGAGGTCAAACAAAAATTACTTATGTTTTCCAGTCCTGCAAACATTTGTATAATTAATAAATTTAAACAATAATTTGTGTCATAGCCATAGAAATCAGTGGTCATATCTTGTAACCAGCGCGGCGCGGTGCCAGGAAAACAAAGCTGCAGGTGTGTCTGGGACCATGGATTCCAAAGAGAAAAAAGGAAGATGAGAACAGAGGATTCAAAGAATGGAGCGAATAATTTGCTTTCATTATCAATGTGGAAGGTTTGCCTGCATTTTTGCTTTGTAATGAAAGGTTGTCAAAAAATAAAAATAAAAAAATGGAAAGGCATTTCCAGGGAAGACTAGATATGCAGCCAACCACCAAGTTGGGAGTGAGAGAAAAAGTGCGATTGCAGAACTTCTGGATAAATTAGAGCAGCGCAAAGATAGATTTAAGAAATGGATTGCATCTCCAAACTCCACTACTGCTGCTAGTTTGGTTGCAAGCATAGAAAACCGTCCACAGATAAACAGGTAGCGCTCTGATGCAGGGATGGGAACTTTCTTCCATTTTTCCCCAAATCCTAAAAATATAAATCACACCAAGGAACGCTGGTGATGGAGGATGTGGGATTTCAGGGTTAGAGAGCTCTGCTCTGATGGATGTCAGTTCCTGCTTGGTTCCTCATGACTCAATCAACTCCTCCCAACAAAAACACGTCCACCGTAGAAAGATTCCTTTATCGTGTTTCTATAATTTCACCAATGCAGCAAAACCTAAACCGCGCAGTGAAGGCGTTCACTGCTCCTCCCTCACCTCAGGCTACTATGTGACATTTTCTCCAGGATAAACATTAAATCATGAATGCTTATTATATATTTAAGCCTAAATAGTCCTTTTCTATAGTGGGATAAAACACTTAGAGCCTGTGTTGCTATACGAGGCTTATATAAGACTTTTACATTTATTTGTTGTTCTTTTGGTCCAATATGGCTCTTTAGGCAGTTTGGGTTGCCGACCCCTGCTATAGACCCTCTTATCTTCCTGTTGTAACAGGGTTAAACTATGCGGCTGCTTTTCTCAAGTGTTGCTGCTTCCACAGCTCAATTGCCTAAAATGGAAGTCAGCTCTTTCTGCACCAAGGCAGCTTTTGTTACATAGAGGACCGTCACACATTGATGCTAGCAGCCAGGATGCACAGATGTGCCTCAGTAAGGTCAACATGTTGGGTTTTTAAAAAGAAAAACAGACCGATTGAAAAAATAAACTGATATAAAAAGCAAAGAGAATTTAAAAAAAAAACCCACCAGGAATATCAGAGCTACTCCAGGGCTGTTTTGTTTCCAATCGGGGGTAATAATGGCCACTCTTAGCTCTTTGCTCTATTTGAGCAGTGAAGTGGACACAAGTATCATAACAGAGCTGTTTGTTCCTGGTTCAAAAACTGTCCTAACACCCAGTTTACCCCAGTTCCTCCTGTTTCAGACAAAACAGAGGGTGATTCAGCTGAAAAACATTCACATCTAACCCTTTTCAGCTCAGAACATACCTAAAGTACACGCTACATCCTTATCCATCTGTTTTATTGACATTAAACTAGCTATACTAACTGAACCATCTGTTCTAATGTGATCAGCAGCATTTATCAGGTATGTCTCTTAAAGTCCTAAACATTTTACCTTTTCAAAAATCCAAATCGTTGCCAGGCTTAAATGCATGTTTTTTAGTTTTGATCTTAAAAGACAACATCTTAAAAATCATTGCCAGTTTTATTTAACACAGGCGTCAAAAACTTTGGCTCAAATATTGAGTAACTGGTTTTCTATTTTTAAATTTTTCTCTCCAAGATCAAATCAGTTCCACTTAAAAACACAAGTTTTTTAAAGTAGTCTGGGAGTGAGCTGGGAGCTGACAGGGAGACAGACACAGCACTGCTGATCACTCCTCTGAAAGAGTTACCGTATAAACGCCTAAATTAACTTAAAATGTTGGAAACTGCCAGCAAAATGTGTTCGATTTTGAAAAACGGCAACATCTACTTCCAGCCGCCGCGAACAGTAGCGGAAAACCGCAAATAAACGACCAGGCCAGAGGCTTCTGTTGAAGGAGATTCCTAGTGGCAGAGCGCCATGCACTGTGTACGGCGGTCTGAGCGGCTCCGACAGCGAAATAATGTTTGAAGGCCGTAGTTAGTAGGATTGTAAGATCGCCGTAGGATCATTATCTCGATGAACTGACTGCACAGATGAAGTTTTCAGGGGGACTTTCTCACTTAAAAACATATTAAAACTACTTTTTACCCACTTTAAACAGTAAATATATCAGAGCCGCTCTCTGCCATTGAACATAGGAGCAGAAGCATCAGACGCATCTGGAGCTGTAGTGGGAAAAAAGTATTCAATTATTCACCATAGTTAAATAAATGGAGATCGATGGATTTCACTCAGTTGGCACTTTATTTATGATATCTTTGCAAAGAGAGAACAGTTCATCATGCGGCCCTTATGGCACAGTATTCAGCCCTGTTCTGACTAGACATGAGTTTGTCTCCCTTACTTATGTTGAGGAAAAAACTGTGAAGGTTGTGTCAGAGTCAAAACAAATTACACACGCTTTAACAAACCTCGAGAAGGAATTTGGCTTGTTGTGGAAATAAGTATGTTTTGTCTAAAACCGCCTCTCACTCAGACATCCTCTCAGCCTTACAGGTGAAACAAACTGAGTAAAAACATTTTTCACTGGATAAATAGCATACCTTAATATATTAGACAAGAGAAATCTAAATTTTCCGACCACAACACACTTTACTGGACGCACTTCAGGAGCGTCAAAGGTGCACATCTGACCTGAATGTGTACAAGCATAAAAAAATGAAGCAGCAGAAGGTTTGTTTCTCCAGCTCTTGCGATCTGAAAGTAGCATTTTGTTTAGCATACGCCTGCCTCAGATCAAACAGTTTAATAATAACGGCTCCACTTAAAACCTTGATTAAAAGTGGTCTAGTGTATAAAAAAAAAACAAAAAAGTAACATGGCAGTTTTAAAACTACCATGATAATGGTAACTTAAATGTAGAATTAATACAGGAAATGGAAGAAAACAATGGACTGAAACGTATCAATGTTTATAAAATAAAGCCATTTCTATACTAGTCAGGAGTCTAGAGCAGAGGTTACCAACTTTTTGGCTTCTGACCCAAAAATAAAATGTTACGAGAACGGTCAAACAACCCAAACTTTGGGGAAAACTACAAAAAAACTCTAAAAAACCTTTTAAGCCTTAGATATAGTAGTAATAAAAGCAGCACAAACAACCAATTCCTCTGATCCAGGTGAAGCGAGTGCTTCAGGAGCTTTAGGCAGTAGTAGCAGCTCAACAACAACTGATGGGGTGAAGCCCCGGCAACACGCCGCTAATGCTCCAGCATTAGATCCTCTTCCACCAGGGGAAAAATCCCATTTGGATGCTAAGATCCTATCCAGATCCGTCTGACATCACTGCTGCTAAGCAAACAGGAATGATGCGCAATGCTCACTGCTGCCTACTGTATCTTATCAAGGCTGCACTTTAAAAAATGAAATTGTCTAGAGAGCTCTTCTAAATGAAATTTCTTTGATTTACACTTGTGTAGACAAAATGGGTAATAATTTGGTAATATAGTAGGCCTTTCACGAATATTTTTTATGAAAAAAAAAATGCACATGCACAACCCTGTGCCCGCTCCCGAGAGGGAACGCCTATTAAACGCGTCGGGCACACTGTTTGAAAGTCTCTGTTTGCATCGCTCATACAAGCTTACTTTCCAAAAGATGATTTGACATTTTTCCACTATATCAGACTCACCACCGGTTAGTTAAAATGGAGACGAGCACATAGGAAGGCCCTAAGTAAACATATCACCAGATTGATTGACAATTAAGAGGACCACTTATATTGATGATCCACCCGGAAAAAGAACATCCTCCTCTATACCTTTAACACGGTCAAATCCTCCTCCATCCTTACTGTCGACAGGCTGCAGACCTCTCCCCAATTCCTTTTTTTCCAGCCACTTTTGTTGAAATTTGCATTTTCCCCATTGTCTATTTTTTTCTCCGCCTTGAGCTTCTTTTCCGGACATATGGCTTTACGATCAAGCAGTGTAAATATATCGCAGAAAAAAATTGTTTTCATAAACTTTTTTTTTTTTAAATAAAGCATTTTAAATGACACAATAAACATTTTAATGCCAATTAAGGCCATAATTAAAAAAATACTAATTTAATGGCTTTAAAAAAATTTTTGTGACCTGCAGAAAGCCTGTTTAATGCTTTAAACCAGGGGTCCTCAATGTTTTCCAGGCCAATGACCCCCAAATTGATGGCGAGATGGAGTGGGGACCCCTAATTATATATATTAGGGATGCACAATATAATCTGCCCCCTATCGGTATCGGCCTGTATCAGCCTTAAAACTGAATATCGGCCACCCCACCCATATTTAACCCGATATTTGATCAGCTTCTGAGTTTCTAAAGTAAAAAAAAAAATAAAAAATACTACTTC